ATTGGGCACAAAATGTTACCATTCCTTATTCACCCCAGCAAACAGGTGCATTATATTTTTTATCAGGCTATGCAGTTAATTTATTTGGAGTTTGTAAAACTGAAGGAGGAAAAAATCGACAACTAAATTTTTTAATAGGAGAAGATGAACTCCCTCAAGGTAAATCTAAGGGTGCAAATACCACTTTAAATTTAGTTTATCAAGCATTGCAAATTTTTGCAAAGGATGGGAAAAAAAAATTACATATAACTTGTGATAATTGCTCTGGACAGAATAAAAATAATTTATCTTTACAGTTTTGGACTTGGTTAATAATGTCGGGTTGGTATGAAGAGATCACAGTTAACTTTATGATTCCAGGGCATACAAAATTTATATGTGATTCTTTTTTTGGTAATATAAAAAAATTATATAGAAATAGTGAAGTTAATCAAATTAATGATATTGAAAGCATTATTAATAATTCTTCAGAAGGAAATGAATCAATACAATATAAAGATGGTACAGGGTGGAAATGGTATAATTTTGAAGAATTATTTGAAAAAAATTTTAAACTTTTACCTAATATAAAACAATATCATCATTTTAGATTTAACAATCTGCCTGAAAACAAAGGGAAAGTATTTGTTTCAATAAAATCTGGGGGTGAAGAAGAATGTTTTAGTCTTTTAAAAAATAATAACTTTAATCATAATGATTTTCTTGATATTATTCCAATTAATGTAGATTTAAAAAGAAAATTATATTTGTATAAAAAAATTAGCAAATTTGTAGATGTTCGCTATAGAGATATTCATTTTTCAAATCCTAATTCAAATGTAATGCAGATTGATTAAATCTTTGATTTTTTATATAAAGTAGATATATAAGTCATTTTTAATTATACAAATACAGTAGTTTAAATAAATGTAGGGTTAGTTTGTTTTTATCTTTATTTTAATCGTCGTAGATCATTTCCTTTTTTATATCAAAGAAGGATTTTGGGGTCAGTATTCAATATAACTTTATGGATTAATTACACAATTTTTTACTAATTGAATGTCAATAAAAATTATACCAAATTATAATCCTTATTTCAAAGAATATAGTGGTATCAACAACTCATTTTGGGGTTCTTGAACCCGAACTATCTTTTTGTTAGCATGGAACCCATATATAAATTTTCATTAATAAGGATTTTTAGGGGTTTTGTGGATTTATTATTATTTTTTTGGTGCCACAAAAAAATTTTTAAATTTATTATACAAATTGGCAAACTTCGCACAATTACAAAATTCAAAATAACTCTTAAAATATATGTCATATTCAAATAAAAATTTAAGTTTTAGATTCACTTTTTGATGCTCTTTAAACTAATAGAGAGCTTTTTACAATTTTACTTGCATAAAATTTTGTAACATATATTCGCAACTTTTACTTTGATTTTCTAGCTTAAAATAAATGCCATTGTTTATTTTAAAATAAAAAAAAGGGTTCTATTACTTTATTTTCCTATTTCTCTAGTATGTTTTAAACTTAACTCGGAGTCAGTATCTCTATTCTTTAAAGAGTTATAATCATTCAAAGTTTACTATTGAAAAAAAGATCGGCAAAAAATTGTCATATATATATGAATGTAAGACACCCCAATAATCCCTGTAATTTTTTATTTTTGTGCACGTCAATCTTAAACATAAAAAATAAAATAAAAATGAAGATATAACTGATTTGTCTGAAGTTTAATTCAACAAGTTGGATCAAGTGATTTTATTTCAAAATATTATTAGCTGAACTAGAATTAGAAGATTATGAGCCAAAAAAATTAGTTCTTAATACAATTCATGATTTAAAATCATTTTTTAATAATAAAAGTAATTGTTCCTGTTGTAGTAAAAAGATTTGCTTTGAAGAGATTGGATTTAAGAAATTTTTTGAAAGATATTTAGAAGTGAAAGGATTAGAAGATGAAAAAAAAAGATCTTTGTATTAAAGCTCAATTAATGGTTTTTGAATTTAAGAAAGATAAAAACAAATCAATGACAATATATATATATATATTTGTCAAAAGGTATTTTTAAAAATTTGTAATAT